GCAGACACACAAGTGCCCTTGGATTAGAAGCCCTGCATGCTGAGGCTGTGGGCTCAGGCTCAGCATCTCTCCCCCCCTGTCCTGATGGGATGTGCGAGTCTCTCCCCATCTGACAGCACAACATACCTCACCTCCAGCTTCTCCATAAAGGTGATGCCTCTCACATTCTGAACAGATGTTTGTTAAGGGTTCAAATTTAACTTACAAGCCCGCAAAGCAACACACACGCTCCAAAAATGACTTGAGTGAAATCCATTAAAAACCCAAAACAGAACCAGAAAACCCCCCCAAACAAACAGAAAAACCCCAACCAACTCAAACCACTCCAACGAAAGCCAACCTAAAATGTGCTGGATTAAAAGCAACAATCCAAATCAGCATGAAACCACAAATAAAACTCGGCAGGCTGTGCCAAAGACCTTGGGGGGATAACAAGGTTTATAAGTCTGCTTTGCAGAGGGGCTTTTTCCACATTCATAAGGCAGCCCCCAGGGACACGAAGGCAAAGCTATGAAAACAACCCCCTTCACATAAACCCCAAGGTTCTCCAGCTCCAATCTTTAAGTCTACAGCAGCTAAATCTAATCTAGTCAGTTAAAAGCAAAATTTCAGGCTTAATCCTGCCTCTACAGGCAGCCAACTACATTTTCCAGCAGGCAGAGTGCTCTTATAGGAAAGTTCACTTGAAAGACTCATGTCCAGGGTGAGATTCCCCTTTTTGGGCCAGCCTCTGGTGGATCCCACAGCTCCATAGCCCAGGGAATCTCCCTTCCTTCCCCCAGCCCAGTTTTCCAGGCAAAGCCATGGAGCAGTCTTATGTCCAAGACAGCATCACTGGGCAGGGTAGCCAATGTGGCTGCAGCTGGAACCCACAGCACAAGCCACATAACCCCATGCTCCAGGGTAGATGTGGAGTTGCCTCCATCCTGCCCCTCTGAGACAGGAAGGCAGGAGAAAACTCACTCTTAGGGCTAAATACCAGAGGTCCTGCTGGTTGCTGGCATTCAGGTTCTGAAGTTACTTTTCCCAGCCTTGACAAAGCCTTGGACTCATGCCTTAACCTCAGGGGCAGCAAAAGAAAACAACAACGATGACGACGAGAAGCAAAAAGCAGCAGATAAATAGAAGCACATGTAAATAAAACCAAGAGCAAAAGACAGCCCCAGTAAGGAAATGGATTTCCACTGCCAGTGCCCAAGCTGTGCAGGATCACTGTGTGTGACAGGCAACGAGAGAGATGGGGCAAAGCCCCCATCACTGTGTCATGTTTTCTGTTTCAATATGGCCATATCATGACAGCTTGCTGAAAACTCACCTTCTCTACCCTCACACTCCAACACGGGCTACTTTTCAGAGAGCCCGTTCAAGAAATGATGGGAAAAGAAGATGAGGAGCAGCCAGTGCCCAGTTCTAAGGTACTTTTAGAGGCAGCATGTCTAGTATGGAAAATGCAGTATGGGTCACACACTGATAAGGGAAGCAACTTTAGTAAATCCATTTAATGGAATGATGTTCCTGTTACACTGAATAGGTGATGCTGAACTTTGCCAATCTAAGATACTGTGTTTTAGCAGTGATTTCTGTGCTGTTCTCAAGACCATTGAGGCTTCTCCCTCCCTCTGGCTAAGATAACCAGTGCCAGTGAGGACAGCTCCGAACTCAGCCTGGTGTGGGGCTGCAAGTGGAGATGGAGAGAAGAGCTGAGTAGCTCTCGAGCACAGGGTCCAAAGCCAAGGGGACAGGGATGCCGGCAGCACAGCCACGCTCCCCAAGGGCCGGGGGGTCTCTGCAGAGCTGGGGAGGGGAAGCAGGCACCAAAGCTCACACAGGCACCGCTTCCCTGCCGGCCCCGGGGGCAGCCACCGCTGCCCGCCCATTCCCGGGGACCCCCCCCCCCCGCCTCTGATTGATGGCTGCTGCCGGCCCGGGGGAGGAGGCGCCAGCGCGACCGGCTGCTCCCCTCCGCCTGCAGGAAACCGGCGGTCGGTGGCGGAGCGGGGCCCGGCGCCGGCCGCTGTCTGCAGCTGCAGCAAACGAGCTGCGATGGGGGCCGGCGGGGCCGGGGGCAGCGCCAGCCCCGGCGGGCAGGGGTAGGGGGGAACGGGGTCCCCCCGTCGGGCTCGGTTTCACTGCGGGGAGCCGGAGCAGGCGGCAGGGAGCCGGGATGGGGACACACACACATGGACACACATGGACACAGAGCCGGGATGGGGACAAACACACATGGACACACATGGCCACAGAGCCGGGATGGGGACACACACACATGGACACACATGGACACAGAGCCGGGATGGGGACACACACACATGGACACAGAGCCGGGATGGGGACACACACACATGGACACACATGGACACAGAGCCGGGATGGGGACACACACACATGGACACACATGGACACAGAGCTGGGATGGGGACACACACACATGGACACACATGGACACAGAGCCGGGATGGGGACACACACACATGGACACACATGGAAACACATGGACACAGAGCCGGGATGGGGACACACACACATGGACACACGTCTTCGCTCTGGCTCCCTCCCCGGATCGGTTTTCCTGGCCTATTCCCGCTGTTCAAGGACTGATTTAGGAGCAGCTCCCCAGCACCATACCCCCATGTGGTAACACAGGACAGCAGGAGGCAGGCACTGCAGGTCTCTATATACCTATAAAATACACTATAAAAGACAAAGTATTTCTACATTTGAGAGGAAACAGCCCTTTGATCCCAGTGGTGCTTGAAGAGGTGATCACTGAACAGCTGAAGATAAACTGTGCTCCATTTTTAACCCTCTTCCTTGGGTAACTGCTTAATGGGTAGCCCACGTAGTTGGGACAAGGCATAAAAAGGATGCCAGGTTCAAAATGGGGATCTGTCCCTTGGTCAAGTGTGTGTCCTAACTACAGCACAGAAAATGCAGCCAGCACCCAGAAACAAGAGATGTGATAAAAGCTCTCACTGGTGTTTGTCCCTGCTCTGCAAACTCTTGATACCAACCCTCCTCTAACTCATTTATAAGGATGGGGATGTGGTAGGAGGCAAGTTCAGATGGGTTTATTTTGCCCTTCCCAAAACTCTTTTTCTCCATCTGAACTTGTCCAGTTCAGTTTAGTTCATACAATCACAGAAACCCAGCCTGGTTTGTGTTGGAAGGGACCTTAAAGCTCACCCAGTTCCAACCCCTGCCATGGGCAGCGACCCCTTCCACTGGAGCAGCTTGCTCCAAGCCCCTGTGTCCAATCTGGCCTTGAGCACTGCCAGGGATGGGGCAGCCACAGCTTCTCTGGGCACCCTGTGCCAGCGCCTCAGCACCCTCACAGGGAAGAGCTTCTGCCTAAGAGCTCAGCTCAGTCTCCCCTTGGGCAGGTTCAAGCCATTCCCCTTGTCTTGTCCCTACAAGCCTTTACCCAAAGCTCTCTCCAGGTTTCTTGTAGCCCCTTTAGGCACTGGAGCTGCTCTAAGGCTTCCCCAGAGCTTCTCTTCTCCAGGCTGAACAAGCTCAACCACTTTTAAAGACACTTGTTTCACACAGAGCTGCCTTCCCATCTGCAGATGCACAACATCCCTGTGCAACTACTGAAAACACGAGGAAAGCGCAGTGTGCCATTCCAGCTACCCTCCAGTGCAACTCAGAAAGCAACCAGCAGACTGCATCACCTGGCCAGGGACTTCCCAACACCACCAGCAACTGCAGCCTATCCCTTTGGCCTGCAGACAGCTGGTCACCGGCCTCTGATCCACACAGCTGGCAACTAAATCACATGCAAAACTCAAACCTGGAGAACATCACATCATGCCTTGCCTTATAACTCAGAGGAAGTGCATGAGTCCGTTGGGTCTAGGTGGTTTGTTGGGTTTAAATACCATGGTGATGCTTCAGTACAAGTACTTGTAAGCTCAGTAGGCAGCACTTGCTTTGGAATGGACCACTGTTACAGAAACAGGATACTCACATCACACAGGTGGCACCTTCACATTGATTTATGTAACTTGATTATTGCTCTAAGGCCCTTCCCGTGTCAATGCAGGCACACACGTGGAAGCCAGGACTGTGTACACAGAAGCATGCCAGCACAGAGACACTAGGCAGGAATGAATTAAATGCACGATCCTGTCATGCAGCATCATAAAGATACTGCAGATGAGAAGAGATTGCCCATTTGATCCCCAAGAAATGGCTGATTTCAGTGGATAACAGCACGGAACTTCCCAGGCACCGCTGTTCCCCAGCGCTGCTCACAATGTTTTAAGTCATGGTGGTTATTTCAGACCCAGAGCTGCTTTAGTTCCACAAACCAACAGCGCTGTCGTCCTGTCATTGCATTTATGGCTATTTTTACACCTGATGAACTGGTTTTAATGCCTGTAGTTCACTACGATTTCAGTAGCTTTTTATTTACATCACCAACACCTTTTTCATGAAGATGCTTTACAGGGATTCTGAAAGTCTCAGGGTAAAGGCAAGACAGCAGAAACCACAAGGAACTCCAAAGTTGGGAAGAGCAACTGTAAAAGCAGTAACTGATCTATGACATGAATGCTGCAGGAGTCACAAGTGCTCAGTTTAAGCTTGTTCCTCTTAGATGAGGAAATTCACTCATGGTTGGTAAACTGTGGCTATTCTGACTCTATTATAATTCCCTTTCGCTTTATTCAGCCACTTCACACCTTGGCACAATCCACTAAAATGAAGGGGTGAGGATAGGGAAGAGGCTGCTGGATGGTTTTTAAGTCTCATTTTGGGTGTCAGCAGCTCCCCCTGAACACCAGACAACAGCACCGGGTGCTGCATCCTCCAGGTCACACACTGCTCTGTTGGCAAACTCCTTTGCCGGGCTGCGGTGCACACACTCGGGACTGACAGCTCCCAGCCCACACTGATCCCGGTTTCATGACCACGGAAGCAAAGGGATGGGTTTTAAGGGAAGGAGGCGGAGGAGAGGGGGGATGTCTTAACTAAAGCACATAGTTTAACAATAATCTTACCACTGGAGACGAAATTCGACACCCAGGGCAATCACAGATTGGAGGATGTACCTGTAAGATTCCTTTGGACATAAGAGTCTTCAAACTTTTCCCTAGATGCAGAGATGGAAAAGAAGAGCGAGGATCAGCACGTTGGTAAAAGGCTTTAGGAAAGCGGGGGAGCACAGCACGCGTCTGCTTCCATGCAAACACCCCTCCCACCGCCGCCTGCCCCCCGCAGCGCATCCCGCGCTCCGTGCTCCTCACTCACCCCGGAGGATCCGGCATCTCCCGGGAGCCGGGCAGGGAAGGAGCAGCAGCGAGCGGAGTAACGGCACCAAGTTCCTGCCCTTCCCTCCGGAGAGGCGGCAGCGCCGCGGACCCCGGCCTGACACCTCCCGCGCTCCGCTAACTGCGTGCGGCACCGGCTCCCCCCCTCCGCCTCCCGCACCCCCCGGGGCCAGCCGGGTCCCCGCTCTCCACCTGCCGCCAGCACCAGCGGCAGCTCCGGGTGCCGGGACTGCGGCGCTGGCTCGGGCTGCGCCGCGGGCGGGAGGGGAGGGGAGGGGAGGGCAGGAGGGAGGGAAGGGAGGGAGGGATGGATGGAGGCAGGGCCGGAGCCGTCAGCAGCCGCCGCGGAGGTCCCGCCGCCACCCAGCTGCGGGGAACAACCCCCCCTCTCGTTCCCCCCCCCTCCGCGCCCCGCCCGCCGCCCCGCCGGGGCCTGTCCTCGCCCGGCAGCTCCCCGCGGCTTTGCCCGCTGCCGCCACCGGCACCGGCGGCTCCGCGCCCCCGCAGGCGCGCTGTGCCCCGTGTCCAACCGGGCAAAGTTCCCTCCGGGAGAGAGGCGCATCCCCCCCCCAATAACCCCGCACAACAGTTCCCAACCGCTTGGGAAACTTACTGTGGAGAGCCCGGTACCGCGCACATACGGGAGAGGGGATCCGGGGAGTGATGGGGACCGGGGGGCACGGCGGGGGAACTCATGTCCCCGCTCTCCCCGTGCGAACGGCGGTGGGAGCACGGCTCCCGTGCGGATGCCGGTTCCCAAGCCCGCGGGTGGGAGGGAGAAAAGGGAAGGCGGGGGGGGGAACGCCGCGTCCGGGAGCCCCGCACACACCGAGCAGCGCCTTTACCTTTGTGCCTGATGCTGCGCTTCCAGTCCTTGGCTGTCTCCCTGCCGCTCACAAACTGGAACTCGTTAGGGGTGAGCCACTCTCCCCGGTACCGGATGGAGGGTCCTTTGCTCCCCTGGCACAACTTATTGATGTAGAGCAGCGCCTTGTTCTCCCCGCACTCCACCTCGATGCAAGGCTCTCCGTTGTCAAAGAAGGGCTGGAAATCCGGGATGGAGGAAAACCTCTCCAGCATCAGGTCCTCGGGGAGGTGGTGGGGGTGGTGCGGATGGTGCGGGTGGGGGCGGTGGGTCTCATGGAAGCCCAGGTACGCACGGGGGGCAAAGAGCTGGTCGTAAGCCGGCGGGTGCGGGGCCACCACCGGCATGGCAGCGGCGGCCAGAGGGGCGAGATAGTCAGGTAAGGTTTCCATGGGCTGGTTAAAAGCTGCCAGGGCCATCTCCTCCCTGTCAAGTCGCTCCTTCTTGATCGCAGGCATGGTGCGGCCGCGCTCCCCCGTCTCTCCGAAGCACAGTGGCTCTAATGTCTCCGGTTCAACTTGCCCCCGCTCTGGCTGGAGTTGGGATGAAATGCGCCAGCGGCAGCAGCAGCAGCAGCAGCAGCACAAGCACCTTTGGCGCCCGGGTGCCGGAGGTGGCTGGGATCCCCCGGAGCAGCCCGCTAACAAATCTCCTGGGCTGGCTCCCCAGCGGAGCTGTCTGGGATCCCTCTCCCACGGAGAGGCGGCTAATGTACCGTAGACCGGGGAGCTGCTGTGTGCCTCGCAGATCAGCCCCTCCGGACCAATACCTGACATCTCGGAGAGGTCTCTGCTGCCGTAGACATTATTTTGGTTTAAGAAAAAAAAAGAAAAAGGGAAAGAAAAAAAAAAAAAAGAGCTTATTGATTCCCCCACATCGACCCACCTTCCACCAGGCTGGAGGGTTCCCCGCCGCCCTCCCTGCCCCCCTTTTCGCCCTCCTCTCCCCCCCCCCCCTTTTCTTCTTCTTCCTTCCTTTAAACTGACACCTGGGTTATTTATTTATATGCAATAATTAAAATTAAACGCTGCGCTCCCGCCGCCTCGCCGCCAGCCCCTCCCCGCCCCTCGCCGCCGGCGCCCGCCGGCCGCAGGGAGCGCACGGAGCCGGCTCGGCGGTGCCCGGTGCTCCCGGTTCTCCCGTTTCCCGGACGGGGAAGTTTGCCGGGGGCTGCGCAGCTCCACCTGCAAAGTGCAGCCGCGCCCGGTCCCACCGAAGCTCTATGAGCACACTCTGTGTGTGTGTGTGTGTTTAATTCCCACTCCCGCACACGTTAAACCCGTGTATGTCAGGACGGACACAGGGATGGATCCCGATGCGCACGCACGGACACACCGACACGCACTGTAACAAGGGCCCCGGCGCACACTGCCCCCCGGCCCCCAGCGCCCCGCCGCGCCGGCACAGGCACAGGCACAGGCAGAGGCAGTTATCGATCGGGGCTCCCAAGTCCCCGGGCAGTTCAGACACTGCCCAAACCCGACCGCCCGCCGCCGCCGCCGCCGCTTCCCCAACTTGGCCCATTTAAAGAGCGGAGGCGCTTGCGAGCGACGGGCGGCGGGCGAGGGGGTGAGCGACGGGCGGCGGGGACAGCGCCGAGGAGGGAGCCGACGGAGCGGGGAGGAGGGATCGGGGGCTCCCCCGGCCCCGTGGGCTTCCTGCCGGGGGGGAACGTCCCATGGGGAACAGGGTAACAGATCACGGAGCGGTTGGGGGTAAAGGGACCTTAAAGCTCATCCAGTTCCACGGGCAGGGACCCCTTCCACTGGAGCAGCTTGCTCCAAGCCCCTGTGTCCAACCTGGCCTTGAACACTGCCAGGGATGGGGCAGCCACAGCTTCTCTGGGCACCCTGTGCCAGCGCCTCAGCACCCTCCCAGGGAAGAGCTTCTGCCTAAAGGCTCAGCTCAGTCTCCCCTCTGGCAGGTTAAAGCCATTCCCTTTGTCTTATCAATGTACAACAATGCACAACCCATGCAAAAAACACAGAAGGCAGGCCAAAGCCTTTCCCTTCCCCATACAATGATACAGCACAACTTGGGAGAATGGTGTAAATTTGTTTTCCATGGTAAGCCATGGCACAAAGTCCACATGAAAGTGCCCTGAGAGGACAACATGATCCCAAATTACGTTGTGTGGTGGTGAACACATCAACAAGATGGAGTTCCCTACCTCTGGATGCTCAGCAGGATCGACTGCAGGAAGGATCCTACCTGGAAGGGAAATGAAAGTAAGTTACCCCTTAAAGACAGTACAAGAACCGTGCTCCACAAGTCTTACACAGTAGCAGAACAGTGGCAGTTCTGTGTGAGTTGTGGCTTGAAGTTCCCACCACAACAGGAAGTTCCTAGCTTTGTCCCAAGATGTCATAGAATAGGTTTGGCTGAGATCCTACAGGTGGTATTTTGCCCCCTTAGCTCTCAGGTGACCCCTCTCTCCAGATAAGCCCACTAATGGACAGACCACTTGTGGGACAAGCTATTGCTTCACATCACTCAAGGCAGAGGAAACTGCCTCTCTGAGGTTCTGCACATCTGGGAACGGAATCTAGGCCCCAAATCACAGTTTTCTGTTGACACTACTTGACCATGATCCTTCCTTCTTGCCTATTTATTCTCAAGCAATGTAAGCTCTGGGAGCCATCCTTGCTTCTTGCTCTAATGAGAGAGGCAGACACATCCACACACATCAAACCTCTCATTTAGGCTTTCAGGCTTAGGCTCTTAATGCTTCTGATTGCTCAAGATGATGGGGAAAAATCACTTTCTATTATCACCTAATGAGCCAAGGAAAATGCTTGGAAGAGGCTCTGGGAGACACAGGCTCCTCTGTGGGAGCATGTCAGAGGATTCTGGATGCAGGTTTGCTCAGAAGGCCCTACAGTGAGAACAGTCCCAGAAAACCTTCACACCTGGAACTGCACTGAGCAACCTGCAACAGGCTTAGAACTTCAGCCCTCTTCTGACTCCATCTTCTTTGTAATGTGGCTTCATGGCACTGATTTGTGTTCACTTTCTAGAGGAGTGGGTGTTTGTTCTCAAAGCCTGCTTGCTTTTATACAGCTGTAAGAGTTACTGCTCTGCTTCCACCTCTGTTCCTGATGACAACTGCACCTCCAAGCACAGAGCTTGGCCACAGCCTTCTCCAAAGTCTCCCTCCAGGAGGGGTCACAGGAGAGCAGAACCAGACCAGCCTTCATCCTCCAGGAACAAATCCTGTGCTACTTCCAGACTCCTCAGATCTCTGTGGCTTGGATGCACACTCAAATATTAACAGCACTTTGCATTACCATCCAATCTGCCCCCAATAAACAGCTCTATGAACCCTCTCCTAACCCGGAGAACTGGTATTTACCTTGTATTTTAAAGGAAAAGGTGACTTGCTATGGGACTTTCTCACTGCACATAAACCCAGTTGCTTTTCACCTCTAAAGCTATGCAGAGGTCCAGCACCAGAAGAGTAAGGCCTCATGATGGTGGTTTAATATGAGGTGCATGGCCTGGGCCAGGCAGGGTTTCTTGCACACATGTAAGTGAGCTAAGGGAAGTTTGGGGGATTCAAGAGGCACAGATTCAGGCTGGTCCTGTCAGTCTCTTAAAAGCACTAAGCATTCCTCTCTATCCCTCCCCACTGCAATACAGAACTGTGTATTGTGTAAGAGCTCTATCTGGATGTCTGACTTCGACAGCAGGAGACTGAAGCTGAAACAAAATCTGGATCCTTTATTCCTCTCAGGTCAAATGTGTCAGGAACTGCAAAGAGCTAGCTGTGCTGCACAGCATTTTACAGAAGAGATGGTGCTTCAAGCACAGGCCTGGAAGTTAACAGATACGGATTTTCCTCCTTATTCCATCACTGCTTTCATGAACAAGTTACTTATGCTGTATATGCCCCCATTATTATTCTTCTGGTAAAAGCAGGGGAATCTTTCTAAATGTAATTTGTTATTTACATGTGTGACATAAAACCTCTGAGTTTCTGAGATCAAAGGTCCTTTTGTGTTCTGTGTTTTAAAAACTCATTGCAGATGCAGGCCCTGCCCCTTTACAGGAAAGACAGGTTGAGGCTGGGAGGAGACACCCAGGAACATGTACCATGACCAGCCCGAGTTCAGACACTAACCCAGAGCTTCTGTCTTTGCAGGATTCCAGCACTGATGGCACACCTGGCACGATGATCCTCTGCTAAATGAGCAGATCCAATGTTCTGTCAGCACAGATGCATCTACAGCACTGGTCTTAGTGACCCTGGCACAGCAAGTCTGTAGCATGAGATTCTCACAGTCCAAAGCTAACCGTGCCAGCAAAGTTCTGTCCCGTACACCAGAAGAGCGTAGATAATAAACTAGGTCTTTCAACAACTGGTGTAGTAACCACTGAATCACATTGCTTCCCCCAAAGAAGTAGGAGTGCTTAGCCTTTTAACTGGGAGTTAACAGCTCTTCCCTCTTTCCACAGAACTACCCTGACACTATCACACCAGTGATGGAAAGCAACAACTCTGTCCCTAGCACGTCACTGAGCCTACCAAAGACAAGGAAGGAGACCAAACAGCCACACCACCACCTCCCAGACCAGCCAGATCCATGCCTTCCCCAGTCCCTTCCAGCTCTCAGAGGACATCAAGGCTGTCTAGCAGCCAGGATTCATTGTTTCTGCCTTTTATTCCTGGTGTGGCCCAGCTCGGTGCTCCCGGCATGTGAACAGCCAGCCACTGAGTCCTGCTCTGCGGGGTCAGCGTTGGAGGTAATAGTAGCCTCAGGCCAGACTGCTTCATTAGCAGAGGTACTTTGACAGCCCAGCAGCAACAGCAACAGCAGGGAGGGCTCAGGTGGGTGTTCAGGGGAGGAGGGCTGGGAAGGAGGATGTTGGGAAGGGATTTGCCTCTGAAAACCTGCTTTCTCAGGGGCAGCTGAGCTGTACCCTTTTTAATCCCACTGCTACAAACAGTGCCTTCTGCATCAATTGATTGGAGTGGAAAGGAGCACCACTGGAATTCAGAGGTTTTTCTGTCTCTTGTGAAAGTAGTGCCGTGGTAGCACAAGCTTACACAACAAAGCAGAGATACAAACTGCACACACCCCTATCTAAAGCTGGAATTTCATCTTAACCCACCATTGACTGTCATCATTTCAGTCAATGGTGGGTTAAGAAACTCTCTTCTCATCAAACTATTCTCCCAAGATGCCTCTTCCAAATCACCTTCCCTGTATAGCTATGTCACCAGGAGATAAGTACTCAAAACCTAGAGGAATCCAATCTGTTGGGGAAAAGCAAGCAAGTTTTATCTGGCAGGCAAGGACTAACTCCAAACTAGCTGCTCTGTTCTTCTAAATAATAAGTAACTTCCCATGCAGGGAATACGTTTTCTGTTCTCCCTCTGGTTTGGTATAGAGGTATGCTGGGCTGTAAGTCACCTGGCTTATAGCTCAGTAGACCTTTCCATGCTGCTGCACACACTGCGCAGCCAGAATCACCCACAACAACTCCAAGAGGCTGTTTGTGCACCAAGTGACCACCTTCCTTCATGATGTGCTGTCAGGGGATGGAAAACCTATCAGATGATAGGAGCACGGATTCATCTCTCTTCCTTACTGGTTAAAGCTCGGGTTTGTTGTGGTAACTTAGGTCAGAATCAGCCCTGAGATCTCTACAAGAAGAAGTTAAAGGGCACAGTCCATTAAAAACAACAGCACATTTTCCCTGACTTCACACCTCAGTGTTCTAGTCCCCTGTAATACAGCAGGAGATTGTCCTCCTCTGCAAAGCTTTTGGAAAGCAACAAGTTTAACCACATGCAAGGGATGCTCCATGATGCAAGAAAAGCACTTCCAGAAACCACCAATGGTATAAAGCCTTATGTATCAAAGCTGCTGTTGTAGTAACCATTCTCTCTGACCCTTTACTTCTAATGCATCCCTCTGCATTAACTACACTTCTTCATGCATACTGCAATTAAAAATGCATCTTTCTTCCTTGTCGATTGCTCTCTCCTCAAAGGTTATTTATTGCCACTTCCTACCTGCTGTGAAAGACCTGAGATACCAGAGGTGTGGTGCAGAAGAAAGCCTCCACCAGATCCTCTCTTTTCCCTAGAGCCTTTGTGCTGCTCCACTCCACTGCTAGGAAAAACTCCCTGTATCAGAGGATGGTGAAATGATGGTCACGTTGTATTAATCTAAAGCTTGGCTGTGTCCCAGCATTTGCATATCACTCTTTGCTGTTCCACTTCCCCAACTTCCTGCCTGCCTTCCCGCCTACAGTCACAGTAACAGAAAGACAAACTGGAAAACTGACTATGGAAGAACCTGGGTCTGGCTGGAATCTATTGCTGGGTTAAACCAATACAACATCAGTGACCCCTGAAAGGAAGATAACATTAGATGTGCCAGCCCAATGTCAAACAGTGCCATAGAAGAATAAGCCCTGGGTCTCTCCCTTAATTCACAAGCACATACAAACACAGGTGCACAAAACAAGCACTTTTTTAGGTTAGGCAGCTTAGGTTAGCTAATCCTTTGGAAGGAATGTGTCAGAAGAGTCTAAAGTAATCAAGGTGTGACTGCTTTTAATACACGCTAGAAAGATCAAATTAAAGACTAGGTAGAACCTGTCTTAACCAATTTAGGAGGTGCTGAAGTGCACACTATTCACAGCTTTCAAACACAGAGCTAACGTGTCCTAAAGTCTTTAAATCACTGGGCATTTCTGCAGACAGGTTTTGGATTGCTCCAGCTCTCCTTTGTAGAAATTGATGTAGTGCAGTCAATGCCCCAGTAATGATGGGATTAGCATACATCACCTCTCCACTAGTGTACCTGCATCCCACTAGAGCTGTGCCAGTTCCACCAGGAATGCTTCTGAACAGTTATTGTTACAGCACTGTAGAAGCTGATGTATAGATATGCCCTAGTCAGGGCTGTCTCTAGCGTAGGTTCAGGTATGACTGCAGCAAGCATCCATCTGCCATAGCTAAATGTTACTAACTTAACACTGGTGCTCCAAGAAGACATCACACAGGAGCTCCATCAGGATGGATCTGTGTTTCTGTAGGCAGCTCTCACTGAAGTGTGTGCTGCTGTGCTTCCTCTGCAATGGTTTCATGGACCATCTAGGTCAACCAGTACAGGAAGATGGTCCTAACTTCAGAACCATTACATGGTCTCTTTCACATGGGCACTCTGTGCAAAACATGCCTATAGTCAGGGGCATGA